CCCCAAAACCCCAAAACCCCAAAACCCCAATACTAGACTTTACTATTGAAAGCTTTATTTCGAGTAATTAAGAATCTGTACCTTTGTAAGACCATTTCTGGAGAAAACTTCATCAATTTTTATCTTCGAGAGTCCGCAGTTCTTTAGATAGATTCCTGAGAGGTTTGCAGTAAAATCTTCACAATAGCTAAGACCTTTAATCAGGTTGCAAAATTCATCTGGGTTCTGATCCCAGTCACTGTAATCTCCATCTCCTGAGTAATCAAATCCAAGGTATTGAATCTTAGATTCGCTCAAATCATCTTCAAAATATGGGACTGAGGGAATCTTGAGGTTACAATAGTTGAACCCTATAGTCTTCAAGTGCTTACATTCTTCGAGCACTTTGCAAAGCTGCTGCTTGCTTAGCTTCAACTTGTAAAGTGATAACTTAACTTGTATTCTGGCTTTAACAGCAAGAATTTCATCCAAATAAGGATCTATTCTGACTAGTTTAGAGTTCAGGTTAAAGTCAAAATTCCCCACTCTGGATGGGAAATTATCAGCCATGAATCTGTTCACTACTTCTTCTCAGTCCTGAGGGAGAGACTCCATCTGAAGATTTTTAACATCAGGAATTGGACCCTTAAGCTTTTGTATGAATTTCATGTCCTTCTCGCAGCTGAGATCCAAGTTTAATGAGTAATTAGGCCCAACCTTCGATTTTTTGCCGGTGAGCACTGAGTAAAGGATATCAAAATCCTTTGGCATCGATGAATCTAGTCTTGAAGCCATGGTGTCTGATAAATACTTAAGTTCTTTTTCAGTACAATCCTTTTCCTTTTCTAGATTTTGTATTTTATTCTGATTTTGCAAGAGTGTTGCATCCTTATTTTTAAGCTTTTTAATAAGATCCTTTTCAATAACATCGAATTGGGCCTTTAGTCTGTCGATCACTTCATCTTTGTCACGAATTTGCTTAATGTAGCCATCTTCTCTCTTATATGATTCTACAATGACTTCATTAATAAAAGCAGTGGATTTAGAGGCGTTTAAATCATTGTGATCATCTTCATCTTCATACTTGGGAAGTTTGAAATATCACTATGGAATTTCTTAAGGAATCTATATTGTTCTCTGAGCTCAATTATTTCCTTAGTAAGCTTCTCTTCCTGCAACTTTGCTTTCCTTTGGATAGCCTTGATCTCTTTGCTTTTCGTGCTAAGTTCTTTATCCTTAACATCGTTTTGAAAAACAAGAGATTTGCTCAAGTTCTGAGATTCTTGGAGCATAGAAGTTAGAGTGTCCATTTTCTTATCAATTTGAAGAATAACTTTATTAGAAGAGCTTAAAGGGGCCTGCATATCATTAAGCTTCGTCATTTCTTCTTTAAGTTCTTCTTTATAAGTATTCTTCCCATTCTTCTTTCCAGATTTTCCTCAATTCTCGTTTGAGAATTTCCCATTCTTCTTTCTTTTAGATCTTCCTTCTTTATAATTCTTAGATTCTTCCTTTGAGCATTCAGAGTAACTATCATCTGTCTGTTCAAAATCTTGTCCTTCACACCTCTCCATAACATCCTGGCTCCTCTTCAAACTCCTCTTGGCTCTTACTAATTCATCTCTCACTTGCTTAATCTTAGCATCTTTCCCGTTTAACCTCCTCTGCATGTGTAAAATCTCTCTATTCTTCTGCGCTAAAATATTATTTTTCTCAACTTGAAGTCTATGAATTGTTTTCTTCAGTTCACTATTTCCTTTATAAGCTTCGTATACATTCCATTGTTCTTCCTGCACTGAACTGTTAGATAATTATTGGGCTCGGAGAAATAAAAAATTGTGCTAACCAGGCTGATGTCTTAAAGGTTTCAGATTTTGGTATATTAAATTACACATTATGAGCATATTAGGATAAGAACAATCGTATTTTGGCAAATAATGGTAATGCTAAGGCTATTTTATTGTGAAAATACAATTTTAGCTATGTTTAGTTATTGATAAATCTATTTTTACCCGAGTTTTTTTTAATTAACACTTACACTCTTCTTCATCGAAAATAACACTTTTAAACACTTCATAAGAAATCATAGCAGTTGCAAACTTAATAAACAGATCTTCATCCTTAAGTCTATAAATATCTCCTCAATCGAGTCTTGAAGACCCTCTATTTTCTCATATTCCAACAAACTCTTCGCCTTATCAATGTCAAACGCCACTTGTCAGAGCTCATCATGATACCCCACCACTCCAAAACCTCCTTCTCCAAGATCTGCCACCTCCCCAAACCCCTTCACCATCTCCAAAGCCCTAGTAACCAACCTCAGCATAACCTCAGTTCCTTCAAACCTTTCTTCCCCAAACCTTCCTCTCTCAAATCCTTCCACCTTAAAAGACTCCAAGTTCACAGTGACTTCTCTTCCTGCAATCTGTGCAACCTTCTTGGTCAAGAACAGTTTTTCTTCTAGATCCATAAATGGGGATTTTTAATGTGTTTAATAGTTGGCAAATTTGGAATTTATAGGGAGTTTTGGGGTTTTGGGGTTTTGGGGTTTTGGGG